CTCAGCGGTGCTGGTTGTTCGCCGGACATCTACCATATACTTACACCACAATGTCTTAAAGGGCCCGTCGCCAAACTCTATGCATACAAACGACCCGATAATGGTCTGCGACTTGTAAATGTGCAGACATGGTTCCTTCACCTGCAATAACGTGCTTCCATCTAACAGGAAGCGTACCGTTCTATTAACAGCTCTAAAACAGCTTTAAAACAATGTTTTGCAATGGGATTAAGTGCAATGTGATTTCAAATGCGTCTACAACTCTTACCTATTGTAAGCGTGTCGTCTGCTTTCAGAATCATTTTTCTTGTATAACGCGGCATCACGGCATTCCTCTTCTCAGCATCTGTAGATTGTTGAATGTTCATAGAACAAAAACGATTGCTCACTACCTCCCCAAGTCATAGTTCCGATTTTGTCGAAAATTGTAAGCCAGTGGTTTATTGTTGGCTGCAGAGTCGCTTCAGGGTTTCGCACACTTGCATGGACACTGAAATGCACTACTGAAATCTTTATTTGTTGAAGCAGAGTGCACACCTCGTAGAAAAGTCTAGCGGCTTTATCCTTAATCCTTTCGATTGCCATACATGTATGGCGAAGGATAACTAAATCTTCCAAAAACACGTCCGCTCTTACCTGAAAGCAAAGGGTTGAAAAATTCGCAACGATCTTCGCATAGACATACCAAAATAGCGGTTTTATTTACCTTTTGCAACGTACACAAAGGTACTGGCAATGTCTGACTCTCTTCATCTTGACATGAATATGTACGATGGGATGATTTCTTTAATATCATAGATTACTCCATGTACTCTATTCTGACTTACCTCTCTGACTCCTGTAAAATGTAGTCGATTCCATCATTAAATCGGTTACGTTTCCAAATCCATCCATGATGCTAGTGGATGTTGCGGTTGTGTGAGTACCTAATAAATCCAATTGAAGTTCATACTCTGAATATTAGGACATACCTGACTTTCCATACTTTGTCTGTGACGTGGCTGCATCGAACTTTGCTACGGCATCATATACATACAACTGAATATAACTTCCACTTCACGTCTCATGAAGTGCGAATTCTTACCTGATTATCAAATGTGTCATTGTAAAATGGCTGAAACCATGGCGGAAGACGAACCGAGGAAGAGCAAA